TTCTTGGCTCTTGCTCTTTTTCTTTCTCTCTGTGCACCATAACTCCCAGGCAGGAGACTGGGGACTCACTGCAGGGCGCACTGAGCCTAATAACAGGCACAGTGGAAAAGGTCAGCAATAAATTTTGCCAATATTGGCAGTTTGTCATATCAGGAAATACTTTGGCACAGCTGAGATTAAACACAGGTTCAAAGTCTATTTCACTCAGAGCCCAATTACTAAGGCTTTTATCACGTATTTAGCAAATAGTGAGCAATTTTCCAAATATTAGTGAACATCAGTGCCCTGCTTCTTAGTTAAGGTAATGACCTTGGGGCTGGGGATTTAGCTCAGCAGCAAAGGGCCTGCCTGGCAAGCGCAAGGTCGTGAGTTCGGTTCCCGGTACTGGAGAAAAAAAACAAAAAACAAAAAAAGATAATGACCTGGAATGCATAACTCATGTTCAAGATTGAACAAGTCATGAAAGTTTTTCTATAACTATTTTTCTTAATCTACCTTATCTTCTTGCAAGTTCTGGTGATGTAGGAGAAAGAAACTTCCAGCCTAGTAGATATCCAGGAAGAGTCTGTGTTCTCTAAACTTGAAGAATGAATTCTAGGAATAATGAAGGTCAAGAGCCGAATACATTTATTGGAGGAAGAAAGCTTCTATCTGAGAGAGAGAGAGACAGAAGTGGCTCCAGTTGGGTTTCTAAGAACCTTTCCATTCCTAGGGATTTTTATAGAACAAAACCATGAAGTGAGGCAGGTCCAGGGTGGGGAAAAATGGGAACTCACAAAGTAGGCGTGAGGTGGGACAAAACTATGGTCAGCCAATAAGATTATGAACATAATTGCTCAGATAATACTGATTAAATGGGGCGGCAGGTTATGTAACAAGTTGGCATGAAACCTAACAGGGGCTTTTCCAGGAGGGGGCGGGTCAGTGGCTCTTCCTGGCGTTCCCAAGGTGCTTGATACCTATATAGAATATCAATCACTGTTGTTTATCCTTAGGGAAATTATGTGAGTGCATTTGTTTCTTCTTCTGTCTTAAGGTCTGGTACTCAGCAGATGTGTCTGTCTTCCCCACAGTTGCAATGTATCCTGTCTTCTGCAGTGGCTTTTTGAGGACCTAGGTATGTCTGACTGCCTATACTATTTCTGCTCAATTTAGTGTCTACAATACCAGCAGAGAATAAAGTGAATGATTAAGTTTAAGTGGATAGTCTCCAAGAATTAATTGCGCATTTTGTCAGGCATCTCTCATGGGCACATATAATTCTGAGTTTTTTAAGGCTTTGCCACTTCATAGTCCATTAATCCTACCCTTTTAGAAGAGATTAGAATTGATGTGATCAAATTAAATATACCTGTCTGTGGATTATTTGCTCAAAAGTGCTTATCCATGAGCACCACACACTTGTTTCATGAAGCTTTAAAAATTAACAGGAAGGGGCTGAAGATTTAGCTCAGGAAGAAGATTTAGATAGCAAAACTGATGTGATTCCTATGGAAAAAGATAAGGAAACAGAAAAGCAATGGTCTCATAATGACGATCAATCTTGATAAATATGTGTTAGAAATTCTCTTTCACAAGAAGTCATTGACTTTCCTTGCCAGTCATAAAAGGCATGTTAAGTACAGAAAAAAAAGTGGTCTGGATTTCCATGGATAGATTCTAAAAAGTGTCCTATAGGTCTGACTTGGATGTGAAATTAAAAAAATACTAAAATTAACCTCCTAAAATATTGCTAGCAAAAATAAGAAGCAATCTGTAAAATCATCATTGAACTTGTTTAGCAGGGATAGGCCAGTTGATGATAGAATCTGCAAGACAGAAAGATCAATAATGAAATCCAATGCCTTATTGATATAGGGGAAAAAACCTCCCAACCTGGTAGATATCTTGGAAAAGTTTGTGTTCTCTAAAATTGAAGAATGAATTTAAGGGACAATGGAGATTAAGATTAGAACGTATGTATTGAAGGAAATAAAGGTTCTGTCTGAGTGAAAGAGACTGAAGTGGAACTGAGTAGGTGGCCAAGGACCCTGCCTTTTCTAGAGAATTTTATAGAACAAATCCAGAATAGTAAGGAACCAATCTTTACTAAAGTATCAAATGAGCTACCTGAAGCAAAAGCTATCTTTTGTAGCTCTTTTCTAATATCTGGGCCTGACTGGTTCATAAACATGTCTTTAAGCAAAATCTATCCTTCTATTAAATCAGAGGCTATGGACATATGTTTTACCAGTGCCTCTAGTAAACATTCTAAAAAAGCAGAGGTGTTTTCATCTTTCTCCTGATAAATAGCTGGAAAATTTAAAATAATGAGAAGGTTTGATTTTGTTCTTCTTAAGGCTTTCAAAACTACACCCTAGAAAATGTCTTCTGCTCAAATCTCCTGTTTGGCTGTTAAGTCAGCAGGGGTGCTGGGTAGGGACTGCTTGGGTTGCAGTGGGAACTGGTAGTTCCTCTGGCTATCTTCTGGTTGTTTAAAATTAACAATATGATATTCACTCCCAAATGTAATAGCAGCTTGTGATCCTGCTTGTCTCTCATTCAAAGTCAGTGTTTGATTTCAGATTAACATTACATCTTTCCAGACTCGCATATAGGTCTGAGTAAATCCCCTAAAGTCATCAGTGTACTTCTCAGGGTCATCTGAAAATGTTCTTAGTTCTAGCTTGATCTGCTTTAAGTCACTGAGAGAAAGGGATATATGAACATTAGTAGTCTCATATGAATCATAATTATACCTTGAGCATAAATATGAATTATTTCTTAATGTACAGAAAGTTTGAACACAAGGTAGTTCTGACCATTTCCCCTCCTTCTTACAGTGTGATTTTAGTTGTAAAAGAACATCATAATTAATACAAACATCTTCCAGTAAATTTGACTGTGAGCATCCCATATCAAAAAAGAAACCGTTTGGGTGTCTGCTCTTTATCTCTAATTGATTTCTATACCCTGAAAGGTGTTCCTCAAGTATATTCCACTCCAGAGCAGGTGGATGCCATCTGGGGAGATCAGAAGGCAAAATTCGACCAGCCTATCCACCCTTGAACTGGCACAAAAGTTTACCCTCCTAGGAAGCTCATAAACTGTGTACTTACTCCTATTACGCATTTATAAGCGTAAGTTACAATTGGTGGACAGGAATGTCCAAGGATGGAA